GGCCCCGCCCCCTCCCCTGTAGCAGCTGCCCCACACACACACACACACACAGAGGGGGTTCAGCGCCGCGTGGAGCTGACTCAAAGGACATTCCATGTTCGTGTAAGGAAATACCTGGTCCTTCACACATGGACAGTGGCATTGAGTGCACCCTCTGCAAGTTTGCTGACAACACCAAAATATGTGGTCAAGTTGACACACTGGAGGGAAGAGATGCCATCCAGAGGGACCTTGACAGACTTGAGAGGTGAGCTTGTGCAAATGACATTAAGTTCATTAGGGCCAAGTACAAGGTTCTGCACCTGGGTGTGGACAAGCTCATGCACAAGTACAGGCTGGGTGAAGGATGGATTCAAAACAGTCCAGAGGAGAAGGACTTGGGGGTGATGGTGGGCACGAAGCTCAACATGCGCTGGCAGTGTGCTCTTGCAGCCCAGAAAGCCAAATATGCCCTTGGCTGCATCAAAAGAAGCATGGCCAGCAAGTCAAGGGAGGTGATTTTCCCCCTCTGCTTTTCTCTCATGAGACCCCACCTAGAGTACTGTGTTCAGTTCTGGAGCCCCCAGCATAAGAAGGACATGGAGCTGTGGGAGTGAGTCCAGAGGAGAACCACAAAGATGATCAAAGGGCAGGAGCACCTCTCCTATGAAGACAGGCTGAGAAAGTTGGGGCTGTTCAGCCTGGAGAGAGAAGGCTCTAGGGACACCTCACAGCAGCCTTCCAGTACATGAAGGGAACTATTGGAAAGCTAAGGATGGTCTTTTTACAAGAGCTTGTAGCAAGAGGAGAAGGTGTATGGTTTAGATTAGACATTAAGAGGAAATTCTTTAGTGGAAGGGTGATGGGACACTGGAACAGGTTGCTCAGGGAAGTTGCAGAAGCCACCTCCCTGAACGTGTTCAAGGCCATGTTGGACGAGGCTCTGAGCAACTTGGTTTAGTGGGAAGTGTCCCTGCCCATGCAGGGGGGTTGGATCTACATGATATTTAAGGTCCCTTCCAACCCAAACTAGTCTATGTTTCTATGATTCCCCTCTGCCTGTTTTTCTAGCCTATCAAGGACCCTCTGTCTGGCAATACAGTCCTCTAGTGTATCAGTCACTATTCTCAGTTTTCTATCAACTGTGATAACATAGATGAATCATTGCAGTAACATTTTGCTTAATATAATTACACGAAAATTCCTCCTTGGGCAGCAAATACACTATTTGCGCAACACCAAAGGCAGTATCTGTATTTTTTAAAAAAATTTTATTCCTTAATAAACTCATATTTCGTGACCTGTATTTCAACAAAGCACAAAACATTTTTCTGTGCTTTGAGAAAATGGCAAGAAAAAATCAGCAAATATTGTTGCCATTTAGTCTTGTAAAAGAGTAAATGAAGTTAAAACGATTTTAGATTCAGGACTACTCTTTCCTTAGTCTGTCATCTGCTGAAATCGTTTACTTGGAGACTGTTTCTGCTTCTTACCCACTTTTAGAAATAAGGAAGTCAGATAAAAATGTGATAACGCCTTGTAATAGAAGCGGGAATAATGGAACATTAAGTGGGCAGGGCTCTGGCAATTTTTATTCCATTTGCTTAAGCTTACAGAAGTGTTTCCATCTGACTCTTATACTTCAGATTCTGATGATTAATTTGAGTTTACTAAGCCTAGAGGAGGCTGTGTGCCCTATTAGTGGGAATGATTATCTGTTGTTAGCTGGTTGTGAATAATGACTGCTCTTTCTGATCTGATCCATGACTTTCAGGTAGTAAGCATTCTTGCCAGTTTTGGTGCTGTCCCAGAGACCATAGTGTTTTGTAGGTTGGTAAGATATATTATTTTTTTTAAGCAGTTACTTAAAAAGAGAACAAAACCTTTCCCATCCCACTTTCTTGTTTCACAGAATTCATTGGAAAATACAAGTGGGATTATATTTGAAGAAAAGTTTAGAAGACAGAACACTGATCTACAAATTTTTCAGTAGAGTCTGCTTCAGAAAATGTTATTCTTGTCAGCCTGTGAAGCACAGACTGGCATGTATGCTTACAGTATCAACAAGTGTTTATTTCCATCCAATTGCTAGTACTCTGTTAAACAATCCATATACACTTTGTCAAGCACTTGAAAAATCATTACCAGTGAGATAATCTCCTCTACTAGCAGCTGTGCTGCACCAATCCAGTAGATTTCTAATCTCTGCTAAATACTGCCTTGTCTCCTCACCTATGAGCTGTGGTTCTGAGAGATTTGATTATGGTTCCCACAAAGAAAAGAATGACAACAGAACCAGAGGATTCATACTGCTAGAAGGAGTCTGGAAGACAGTTTGAAGGTTCAAGACTTCCTCAGTGACACGTAAGGAAATCTGAAGCTTGTGCCCCATACCATAGGTTTTTCTTCTGCAGTTTTAAGTCTTTCCTTCAGCCTTCAGCTTTAGGATGAACACATTCTTCTGTTTGTTATCCAGGGGGGAAATAAAAAGTGGTTGGAGATTTAGTTAAATGTTTCATTTTCCCCTTGATTTGATTTTCAGGAGATGGAAAGAAGGGAAGAAAATAGATATATTTTGTTGGTCTTGTAATTTTTTTTTTCCACTGAAGCTATCAGAGAAGTTAGTGTGTATTTACAGATAGTCTTGGAGAAGAACTGCCTTTTTTTTCCTTTTTAAATCTTGGGAGACAAAACATTGGTTAAAAAAATACACCGATCATTTTGTGCTGTTCATGTATATAGGTTTATCCAAATCCTTTTTAGGTTTTTGAGTTATTCAGGGGATCGGGGGAATATTTAGCTTCTCCACAGAGAATAAAGAGCAGATGTGGTGGGTGGGTTTGGAAAAGCAAAAAGCTTTGCAGTCAGTCATCAGTCTACATTTGCTCAGAGTGAAAATGCTGAGAGTGGATAAATAGAAAATTGTGTGCATGTGTGTTAAATGAAAAGTACACTGACAATCAGTTTTCCACTTGCAGTTGCA